ACAAATAAATTCTCATAATATTGCCCACACTGCAGCGCAGTCCAAGCGCAGTCGCTGCTTACTGCGCAGTTAGCAGAGCGCAGGCTTATGCGTGCGTGTGGATGCATGTGTATGTATGTGTGCATAAAAGAAGTGCAGAATGATTAGAATATCAGCTTAGAGGGTTCAGGGTATCTCCCAGTCGAGCAGTCTCGACTGGAGCCTTCTTACTTGTTGTTTCTATCTCCAAACATATATTCTTTCCTCTTTACTATATTATTATAATTAGATATAAAGTCTATCCTCTCTCTCTTAATCTCTTTATCTCTGTCTTTAGTCACATTAACGGAAACTAGGCGAACGGAGTGTGGGTGGTAAGAGTGCGTTAGGGTATGGCATTGATAGGGTATGGCATTTACTGTAGAAACCAGTGGGGAATGTTCTTCCACATGAAAATATTATAAAGTCGAGATGCTTTAAAAAAAGTCTTCAATATGTATAATGAATTTCTTACTCCTGAGCCGAACTACTCATTTTCTCTTCGTGCGGCGATTTATATGCAATCATTCCAAAGTGTAACCTAATACAACAAGCAGCTTTTCTACTTTAAAGCAAGTTGAACGTCAGTTGCTGGAGTGTGAGTGAGTCCTGGCTTTTGTTGGCTGGTGCAAAGGATTCATTTATTCCGTATTGAGATTGGCTGTGCGTATGTTGGCATGCTCGTATTATTACTTTCGAGGCTTGGTTCGATTTGAGCTGTTGTTTGCGAGCAACAGGCAGCCACACAAGCAAACAGACAGACAAATAGACAGTTCGAGCTCGCTCCGGAGGGAGCTCTGTAGAACTAATACGAATTCATTCCTGAAAATACAAAGGCGTATGGCAATCAGTCGATTTTATCCCGACAGTAGTCGCATCGAAATGCGAGTGATGTGAGTTTTTTACTTGGATTTAACCTCACATTGGGATCGAGTCTGCATGGGTGTGTGCTTGTTCGCCTTGAGTCGTTTCAATTTCAATTCAATATTGGATTGTTTGGAAGGCGTCACTCCTTCCTCTGCTATTGATTTGAAGGTATCTGCGGCTATCCTCAGCGGGCGACGCTGCGTATGCGTGTTATTTATTCATTGCTTAATAGGGTTGAGCTAAACTCATAGTAAATTGTTGGTGAATCGAACCAAATCTTTTTGCGCTCACGGTCACTCACTCAAGTTACTTCCAGGTGTTTGTCGGTCAACGAGCAGCCTTAGCTTAAACTACGCCTGAGTATCTAGAAATATACTCGAAGAAGGCCAGGTGCGTTTGGCGCAGGTGAGTGCTCCATCATTTGCTTGCTATAAAATCAAGTATTTATTGGACAGCTTCTTTAACTTATTGAGCTGTCCATGCATGGCAGGCATTGAATTGCTACGCCTCCATTCCGCAAGTAATTGAAAATTTCAGCAAAACGGAGAGCAGCGCGGGAAGCAACAGCTAACTTGGGTAGACTCACATTTTTAAAAAGGAATCATTTTAGACTCAAACTCAGCGATGGGATAAGAATATGAAATAGACCAATGCTGAGCCTTACTCACTCAGCAATAGACGCGCTAGATTTAAGGGTGGAAAATATGCATGAGATCAATTCGTAACTAAACACCATCATAGTCAAGTGTATTAGTTCATCCACTTAATATACTCGTTTATCAGACCAAATATATATAAATATATATTTAATATTGCATATAATATTTATTTGAATATGCAGACAATTTAAGACTGCAGTCAAAATCTCAGTTGCTGGGAAAGTCGCTCAACAGAATGAAATATCGTGAAATATCGCAGCTTAAAGTCGTAAAACGATTTTAGTACTTCGTGTGGCACACGGCACGACGGCCGCCTTGGCATACGTATAAAATATGTAGAGCTATAGAGCTGAGACCGTCATCTGCAGCTATAAATAAAATGTACTAAATTTATATTTATGTATTTATTTAAGCCCAATGGGGTCGACTCTCCCACATTGACTGAGTCAATAGGAAAGGTTTCTAGCAACTGAAAAGCAGCTGCTCTGCGATGATTTTGCACCTTATTTATTTGTTATGGCTTTGATTGGCGAGTATGTGGCCCACGTGGGGAGGTGCACGGGCAACAATTGGGGTTTCACTCAATTGACTCGACACAAAAACCATCCACACTCACAGCATGTGGGGCCTGCACATAAAGGAGTCCCGCCCTCGAAAATTTAATGGCAATTAGCTGTGGGTCACTAAGAGAGGAGCGTGAAGCACTCGCCACTTCCCCTCGGGCAGTTCATGTTCAACGACAGAGCTAAGGGGCCAAGGTGTCGACAGCCAACACCAGTTTGGGCTTCATGGATGTGTGTCTGGAGGATAATTCAGCGCGTGGCTTCCTGCAAGAGCGATCTGAACGTAAGGCTCTCAGAATATTAATTATTTTTCACATTTTGGCAATAAGCACGCGTGCCCAATGGCTGGCCACAAACTTGGCAACGAACTTTTATTAGCCGCTTTGGGCGGCGGGCAATTATACAAGGCCCTTAAAAGTTGTCAGCGAGAAACGCATTCGTGAAATCCGTATTAGCCTCACCAGCCGAGTGTTACTTCAGAAAAGTTTTGATTTAGTTGCTTTGAATTAGTTAGCAACCTCCACAGGAAAGCGGAAGCGACTGCCAGGCGGAGTGAACTGGGTTGAGGCTGAACTAAACTCGAATCTCTGTCTGCATCGGAGAGCTTGAAGTGCCCCACTGCCTCAATGAAAAACGCGCTTGAAACGAAGTTTCAACTTTCGACGTCAGTTTTGGGGAAAGCAACATCAGCTGCGCAGACCTCAGCAGAGGGGCTCGCACTTTAATGAAAATCAGACATATATACATTTATAAAAGAAATGAAAAAAATAATTTAACTTATGGCAAATGTCCTGCGGCTTAAGTCCACAGAGCCCTCTGACCTCAATCAATTTAATTGCATTTTTTTACGCAATTTCGACAAATCGCCTCGAGCAAGACAAACCTCCTAGGCGACCAGCCTATTGCTTTTAAAAACTTTTTTAACTTGCTGCCGCGCGCTCTTTAAGATGGCAAGAAGACCCCAGATCAAGTGAGCGTCAATTCGAGAATTTAAGCTGGACATTTTTAATTTCCATTACAAATAATTCATGCAAATATTCACATAACATTAATCATACTCCACAAGTTTTCCACTAAGAATGCCATTTGAGATATTGTATCTATGATCTGACACAATCTCTTTGTCTTTTTTACTTACTCGGGAAGTTAAAGAGGTATATTTGTTTCCAAAGAATAAAAATGGGTTTTTAATAATACAGACTACTACTACTAAAGTATCAAAATAAAAAATCAAATAAGTATTGACTCAGGCGTTGTCTGAGAATAGCTCACATAGCTGCAATTTGTTTGGCATTGAAAATCCTTTTTTAACAATTTCTTCATTTCGGAGAATTTTGTGGCTTGGATTTACAAAATTTCAGGTCACTCATAATAGAATAATGAAAACGCTTAGAGTATTTCGGGTTTAGGCCAAAGCATTCCAGACTCTCTTCAAATACATCGTGGCAGACCTTTTTCCATCAAAGCTGATATCTGCGTGACATTTTTGTTTTATTATTTTGTTGCTTTTCTCGGCTTTTTTCTCTTTTTGTGTTTTGTTATTTTCATACTGCCATCTCTATTTCGAGGCGTATTTATTTATGATTAAAGCTTGGTATATCTTGCGGTATGTGGAGTCGACTTTTTCTGAGGTGGCAACCAGCGGATGCGTTTTGAACGCAATTACATTTGTCGGATGGAAAGTCTATTAAAATGCCTGGCTGCCAAGCTGACTGGCTCCGAGGCAGCCAGGCACCCCGTAGTCAGGGCACCCTGTGGAGCCTACGAGGGCAGTGGTGCTGCTATCGCCGCCCTTAAGTTAGGTCTGAGTAGACAAAGCCGGATAAGACATATTGTCGGAATGGCGTTCGGTACATGCTCAACATTCCTATGAGTGTGCGTTAGATAAATCATAAAGCAAGCATAATTTAATGCACACACACACACACGCAGTTGCTGCGTGTTATATTCTTTCTTGTAAGCTGCACAGCAACAGCCGGCTAACCGTGCGTATGTGTAATATTGTAAGCGTTTTAATCATACGCCACGTATGGGCGGCCAAGTTGAATAATCAGCTCAGCATAAGCAGTAAAGAAAATCGCATGTGAAGCAGGAGTTAGGAATGTTGTTATTGTTGTTGTTGCTGTTCTTGTTGTCGTTGTGTTTAACTCTGCACCTAAGCCAGCCCGCACCCAATCACGCTCTTCTTTATCGGAAGCCATACCAAACTCAGACTAATGGGCCGCTCTTTATGCAACGCGTCTTAAGCAATTTTAATTAGAGCCAAACAAAATCTTAACACATGCAAAGAGCAAGGCGGCCGTTGCTCATTTCATATGCGCTTATCAACATTATGCAAATTTTCATGACGTTCCATTTGCCGCTGCGGCTCCGGGCTGTGAACGAAAATATTGACAAAGTTACACGTCCTCCCTGCCTCCGGGCATCCCCCCATATGAATGGCTGACATCAGACAGGCCTCCAGAGACTGCCAGGGCTAACTTGAAGTCGGACATAAAGCCATGCCATTCGTTATGATTGAAGATGATTGAAGATGATTGCAAATGACTCGGCGTATGCCTAGCTTGCAGGAGATGCCATTTTTGTTTGTATTTCATTAAAACCCGGAGAAGTTATATACATACAGACGACACTGAACCAACAAGACGTTGAAAAGGCAGAAACTTCATCCCAAAACACGCATTTTGCAGAATTCTTCTGAATTACCACATTGGTTCACTAAAGTTCTTTGAGTAACAAAGAAAGAATTGAAGAACATTTATGATCTCTTTACAATAGCAGGAGGTAATCAACGCAAAGCGAATGCAACTTATACATGCATAATTTTTTTAAATTCCATCAAACTGTGTTTCAGCTGAACTGAACAAATACCCAGAATGAAGTACTGCAAATGATAGAGGCGATACAATTGGCATGATTCAAGCGTCTAAAATATACACAATTTTAATACATAACAAATATAATATACATATGTATAATATAGCATAATGAGTATGTAGGCAGCTAAAAAAAAAAAAAAAAAAAAAAAAAAAA